AGCTGCTCCCCGTCGCCCGGGTCTGCGGGTCAGACCAGGGAGAGGGGGAGCAAAGCCTCGAAGGCCGCCTGCAGCGGGACAGCCGCGGCGCGCCTGGGCTGTCCCACTGCGGGCGTCCTCCGCGGCTTTGCTCCGCGTCTCCCTGGTCTGACCAGCAGACCAAGGAGACGGGGAGCAGCTTTTCTCACCCCAGAGAACGCGGGCGATGGGACCGCAGCTCATCTGGGCGTCCCGCCGCTCCCGTCCTCCGGGGCGAGAAAAGCCCCGTTCGTAACTGCGGATCAGACGTAAGTTGGATCCGCGTAACTCGGGGACTGCCTGTATGTAACCAAGCAAGCTGAATGGAAATCAGTCTGATTCCTTAGATGCTTTGTGGGATTCTCCAGTCTGGGGTTGCAAAATGTATGGTCCTGCCATTCTGATAACTGTTGTTTGCCCTTCCTCATTTCTCTTTATTTATTTTCACATTTTTATGCGGCTTTGTGCACCTCTGCTCAGCGGCCTGTAGGAGTGAGCACTTCAGAACAAAAGGGTGTCTTGACTCCTCGGGGGATGTCTACATAGATGCCTGCAGCTGGCCTGTGCTGGCTGACTTGGGCTAAGAGGCTATTTAATTGCAGGGTAGACATGAGAGGTCAGGCAGAAACCAAGACTCCATGGCACTGCAAGATGGGAGGCTCAGCATGAGCCCAAGTCAGCTGCCACAGGCCAGCCGCGGGTGTCGAATGGCAGTGTAGACGTACCTAAGGGGTTCTGTGCAATTGGCTGTTCCTGTTTGACTTCACTTGAAGCCACCGTGGGATGTAAAGGGTTAACTGGTTACCCGGTAAGCACCATCCTTACTGGCATGCTTACACGGGGAAACTGATTAACCAGCAGGCTGGAGCAGCCCCCTGGCCAACACAGGCCTAGGGACTGCTCCAGCTGCGTCAGGCCCACTGTGCCACGGACGGGGAGGAGTGGCCCCCCACTTGTAGGATCCCAGTTAACCTGTTAATCGTTACGTTTAACCAATTAATTTTTTCAGCGTTATGTTACATCCCTGGCTGCAACTTCATCTCCCTGCTCTTTCACGGGTGTGGGAGTTGCATGGAAACACTTCAGTGGGCGGCTGACACATTTTTAGCACATTAGGCTCCTGCTTACATTCTTAATGTGTGCTATTTTGCAACGAGCTGAAAGATCCATGCGTTCCAAACCATTTCCCGGCAGAGTCAAGTCTGCGGACCCCCCCTCCCTCTACTGAGTGGAGCAATTGCAAAATCCAGGGAGTGCACAATCCAGGGATGTTATTGATGCTGCAGAAAATTGGGAGTGGGGACGTTGAAGCTATTGTGGAGGGCAATATTTAAACCTGCAGCCATGTTTGAAGAGGCATGTTTGTAATCTGCACTGGCTATGGGTAGGTCGGAGTCTCTCCCTCAACAGTCCTTCAGTAAGTTATTGGCCCAGTTCCCAGCAGTGGCAGGATTTCAGACCCTTCTCTTTGGGGCTGAGTTTCCTTTCTCCAAATCAAAACCAGGGCAGTGTAAATCAAATGGCTGGATCAAGTCCTGTTTTCTGGAGGGGCCCACCTCCTCCTAGCAGCCCTTGGTCTCTACTGAAATGCCTGTTGACTTTTTAACTAAGAAGCTGGAAAGCTAACTCAAGCAAATCAGTTTCCACTCTTCTAACACGGGTGGGCAATAATTTTCACAAGAGGCCACTTAATTAATTTTGGTACATGGTCAGAGGCCAGCTCCACCCCAGAAGGGGCGGGGCCTAGCATGGAAGGGGTGGGGCCTAAGGTGGAAGGGGCGGGGCTAGAGACTAGCCTCCCCTCAGAGTTGTCTGGGGCCAAAGGCTTTGAATTAAAAACACAGCAAAAGCCTCATGCTCCTGACCTCGCCGCTACAGCATTGCCTGGCAGCTGCCTGGGGTTGTTGCAACTATTTAAAAGGTTTGTGGCTCCGTCTCCAGCCGGGATCCTGGTGCCTGAGCCACTGGAAATTCAGTGGCACGGGCAGCAGGATCTAAATAGTGGGTCGATGCAGTCCACGAGCCAGTTCAAAGTGTTAGGTGGGCTGGATCCGGCCCCCCCACCTGCATCTTGAGCAGCCCTGCCCTAACACAAGCTGCAGAGTCCAGATTGCAAACATTGCAGTGGAAGGCGTAAATTTAAATAGTAATGTGGTTTTCACAGGGCTAGCTACTGCCGTCTTTAGTTGCATCAGGTAGTATCTGTTTGAGCAGTTCCATTTTCTTCAGTGACACAAATCAAGAGGCGAGATATCCCCAGCATGAGGGTTGCAGCATCTCTCGCCGAGAATGTAAAGAGCCAAAGCCTTAGCATAAATCATCGTAGCTTCATTGAAAGGGATATATCACATCTGCTAGGGTCTCGCTTACAAGAATGAAAAAATGTCTGGTTTTGTATTAGGTTTTGTAAAAAAACATTTTTCAGCTTTGCTTTTGTTTGACTCATGAGCATCCGTTTTAAACTTTCTGTCCATCTCCACTTAAACAAAATGGCTACGTCTACACTGGCCCCTTTTCCGGAAGGGGCATGTAAATTTCACTAGTCGTCGTAGGGAAATCCGCGGGGGATTTAAATATCCCCCGCGGCATTTAAATAAAAATGTCCGCCGCTTTTTTCCGGCTTTTAAAAAAGCCGGAAAAGAGCGTCTAGACTGGCCCCGATCCTCCGGAAAAAGCGCCCTTTTCCGGAGGGTCTTATTCTTATTCGAAGTAGGAATAAGACCCTCCGGAAAAGGGCACTTTTTCCGGAGGATCGGGGCCAGTCTAGACGCTCTTTTCCTCCGGAAAAGGGCGCTTTTTCCGGAGGATCGGGGCCAGTGTAGACGCTCTTTTCCGGCTTTTTTAAAAGCCGGAAAAAAGCGGCGGGCATTTTTATTTAAATGCCGCGGGGGATATTTAAATCCCCCGCGGATTTCCCTACGACGACTAGTGAAATTTACATGCCCCTTCCGGAAAAGGGGCCAGTGTAGACGTAGCCAAAATGTAAAACTCTCTTATCCTGAAATGCTGCCTTTCCCAAAATAGCGGTCACTCCTAGTGCACTGTATCCGCCTTTATTTTTTTAAAGCAGTTTTTAAAAATTTTATTTTAAAATTACTTTTAAAGGATGTTGCAGCACGAGGATTGGACCTGCCTCGGGTCACGTGGATTGTTCAGGTAGGTTTCCATGAGTACATATGTGCGTAAGTAAATGCTATACACTTGTGTTCACACAAGTGAAACCTTGTATTGATACTCTATCTGGCTGTAATGTAGATCCCGATCAATATTCCCTCTAACTTTTTCCATCCGTGTGCAGAATAAATTTGATGTGCACTGAGACGTGAGGATGTGCACCACCAATAGAAACACATGCTATTGGCTGGGGGTGCTCTGCTAATCAGCTGGACTTATAGCACTCAGTTTACAGCGAACACTGGTCCTAAACCTGAAAGCTGGGAGTCCCTGCTAGGATGAGTCTTACAGATTCTGCATAAGTACAGTGGTCCTCTGGGTTGGGATCTAGGCTTCCTTCTGGGACAGAGGATTACCAGCTCCTCTCTTGTTCCACAGTAAGATTTTCCCTTTTTTTCCAGTGGAGTAGGATCGAGCCTTTAAGTAATGGCAGGCTGTAATTTCAAGGACTGAAAAGGGGATGCTGCGGGTACATTTCTGTTGCAGCTGGGGGCTGTCATTTGTGCACACACCTAATTTTGATTGAGCTAGCATGTTAAAAATAGCCGTATGGCTCCAGCAGCAGCTCAAGCTAGCTTCCCAAGTATAATTCCGTCAGAGATCTTAGACACACATCTGGCCCATGGTGCTGCTGCCTACCAGCAGCAATGTAGATGGACCCTTAGGCCTTGTCTGCGCTTTCTGGGAGATTGGCACTGCAGGTCCCCGCTTAACTGACTGCTAATTGTGTTCCTGTCAACTCCGGTACTTTATCAGGTCAAGAAGATTAAGGCCATGTCTTCACTAAGTGGAAGATCGACACTACCACGATCAATCTTCCGGAGTTTGGTTTAGGGGATCTACTTAAGGCCCACTAAATCGAACTCAGAGGGCACCCCCATCAGTGGCTGATACTCTTGCTCCTGTGAGGAATAAGGGGAGCTGTTGGCTTCCATCGGCCTCCCGCTGTGAGGACAGCGGGGAAACTCGAATCAAGATACATCGACTTCAGCTACATAATTAATGTGGCTGAAGTTATGTATCTTCATTTGACCTTCTCCTTTAGTGTAGACCTGGCCTAATAGGGGAGTCAACGAGAGACTTTCTCCTGTTGATTGCCTCTTTTTCTCCCCTCCCCCTTAGTGGGGACAGTGCAGTAACTCAATCTAAGGTACATTGACTCCAGCTACACTATTCACATAGCTGGAGTTGTGTACTTTAGTTTGACATTGCCCACTAGTGTAGACCTGGCCTTAGTGTCACGGGTAAGTAGCCTGATTTGTTCTACTCTAACACAACACCTTTGAATTTTGCCCTTTGCTGGGACTAGTCTGATTTTAATTTTCACTGAAAACAAGGTTGATATTGCAGCAAACAGCTGAGCAGAGGAGGATGGGGGCAAAATCATTAGTCTGCAGGCCCAGTGTATTGATATAATTTATCCAAAGATATAGTTGCTGGTGCTTGAACACAGTGCAGATCATCTCCAGCCCTGGGAGATTTGTGCTTTTCCAGAAGGCGAAAGCTCAGTTGTCCGACGAGCCTTGTCCATGAGCACTGACCTGCAGGGAGCAATTAGATTACTCACAGCATCTTTCTCACCCCTCTAGCCAGTAGAAATTTTGCCAGAGGGAGCAGGTATAAACACTAGAATGGGCTTTGGTCCTTGGGTTTTTTTCCAGGTAAACTGCACAGGGCTTACTTCTGAGCAGTATCTGCGTGTGTGTTGGTTTTCCAGGAAGGTTGGTGGGAGGACATGTCCCACTTTATAGGATCTGATCCTGCTAATTGCTGAACACCTTTAATTCCTCTTGAAGTTAATGAGAGACACTCGTTTGTTACTGGAAGCTTAATCAAAATGTTCACCATATCTGATGGGTAGAAATGGAAAGATACTTGGTCTGTATCCATCACCTTCCTCCCAAACTAAGAGCTTTACACCTGTACTTTGCTTGTGGTTGTTTTTGGCCAAGTAACCAGCACTGGTTCACTTTACACAAACCAGAGCAATTTTAGCCTGACTTTGAATTGGAATCCTTCTCCTTTCTCCTGGCAGCTTTCCTCCCAAATGTACTGCAAGCAGCTTATTGCTCTGTGTGGGCATTCTTGTTTTAAAAAAAATGGCAAACAGATTACTGACAAGCCTGTGTAGAAATAAAATTTAAAAAGCGAAGAGAGACATTGAGATGGGGAAACTGTCCTATTATCTGAAACTTGGCCAATGTGTCACATTCTCATGTCAAAACCCTGCTATGGCTGATGAGGCTGAGTTGAGTGATGGTTCCAGAGATGAATTCGATGGGTTCTTTATAAACAGCCCCTTTCTAAGGAAAGCAAGGCACCCGGCTCCTTTCTAGGTTAATAGGCGAGGTGCCTCGTTTATAATTAACACTGCCGTGTTCTGTTAATTCCTGCTTTTCCCTCTTGTGTTTTCCTTTTGAAGTATAATGCTCCAGCGTCGCCTGCGGAATACGTCCACCGAATTGGGAGGACGGCTCGGATTGGCTGTCACGGGAACAGCTTGCTCGTCCTGACTCCTTCGGAGGCAGAATATGTCAACTCGCTGGCTTCTCACAAGATTAAGTGAGTCAGAAACCTGAACAAAAGTTTCAGCTCCTCTCAGCTAATTAACCTCCATGGCACTTGCCGAGGGACTGTGGCTTGTACAGGTTTTAATAAGAGTTATTAATTCTGGTTCTTCAGGACTAGCCCCAGAATGGCAAAAAGGGAGAACTAAAGCCTATAAAATCATCAGCATGACAACTGTACTGTGAGGGGGAGGGGGTAACGAAGGGATCGGTTGTGCACAAATGTTCTCTCTCTAGCTCTCCATTCAGACCTTGCCTATTGGAGGTCACAAGTCAAGTGTGCATCTCAAATGGCTGCTGGACACTTGCCCATGTTGTCAGAGCTCATGCTGAGATCTAGGACTGGCAGAACTGGGGAGTTGCATGTCGCAGTGGCGAGGTGGTTGGCAGAGCTGTGCCGCATGTGTGGACCCAGGACTGGAACAGCAGAGGCTGTTGCAAGTCCAATTTAAGAGAGGCTGATAGAACTGTACAGGCCTGGGATGACATGCGTGTGCAGCGTAAGAGTGAGGTGCTTTGGCAAAGCCCAGGAAGGAGGTTCAACAGTGCTTCCCAGCTCTCGCTAGTCAAAGAACAGGAGAGTTGGGCTGAGGAAAGCAAGACGAGCTAATAAAGATCCAGAGTCCACATAGGGACGGCAGCTCGATGGTTTGCAGAATGTGAGGTCTTAGTTTTTAGTGGACCAGCATCCATGTCACATAACCCACCACCTTGTTAGTCCCTCTCTTGGCTCCCTTCTGAATAAAGCCAAGGGTGAATGTCACGAAGACTGAACTGCCCCCTGACCCTTAGAGGTGACCCAGCATGAGGTACATGGGGGAAGTTTGCACTGCCTGTGCCTGTTCTGTGTGTAAATACGAATTCTGGGTCCAGCAGCCATCAACCCTGCAGTTACTGTGAGTCTAAAGTCTTTCTCGCAATTTAGGAGGGAAATACCCTACTTCTAACCAGGGTTTGCATGTAGACATTCACACCTTCCTGTGCTCCTCCTATCAGTGTCTTTTGAAGGACCCCATAAATGACAATACACAAATGAACCATCTTTTATTTTGTGTGTGTCTATATGGAGTGGAGCTGCTCAGAATCTAATTTGGTTTGGAATTTTTTAAATAAGCTAACATTGGCAACACCTACTGGCTTATTCTAGGCTGTGAGCCATTTAGTGGTCTAACAAAGAGCCATCCATCATCCTAGGAAACTATTTATTAAGCAGATACCAGCAAGACTTGGAGGGCTAAGCTGACAAGGGGTTTTGGTTTTTTTTTTCCTTCCATGTAACAAATAGCACTAACATTTTAAAGGTGAAATCCCACATTACTGTGAAGTTTTAGCTCCAGCAGGAAAGTTGAATTTTTGTTGGTTGAAGGGGAAAGGGTGGAACTGCCTGTTTTTATTTTACTTTCATTTTAACTCAAACAAGTTTTGTTTTTCTTCATTTAAATCATTGCGCTGGGGTGGAGCTGCAGATGAGGGGTTCAGTGTGCAAGCTGCCCCAGGGAGAAAGGTCTGCCCCAGCCTTCTTTCAACATAGCAGCTTTGGGTCAGGTAAAAAGCACCTGTCCGTGATTGCTGCAGTGGGCACAGGTGAGGGAGAGGTGTGTGTCTCCAGGTTGGGGGACAGACAGACAAACTCTCTGAAATATAAAGTAAATAGTTATTGCTTTTTCCATCTCTGAAATATAAAGTAAATAGTTATTGCTTTTTTCATCCCTGCTGGCCCAGTGAGGTGATAGCTGTCCCAGTCCCATCTCTGGCTCCTTGCTGCCCCCTGTGGTCATTCTGCAGTATATCAGTTCCTCCTGCCAGATCCCTCCCTTTCCATTTTAGGAGAGAGAGTCAAATTCCTCATCCATCTCATTATTCTGTCATAACCAAACATTAACCTTGCTTTAAGTTACAATAAGAGGAAGCTGTATGCCAAATTTGGTGGTCCTAACTCTGACTGTATAGGAGCTGTTCTTAAATAAATGGACTTACGGACGGACAGATGCACATTTCTAAAATATAAAGTAAGATTAGCAGAGTTTCATCCGTTGCATTTTTGACAACCTTAAGGAGCAGCTACATACTCTACTCTGCGCTAGTTAGGCCTCAGCTGGAGTACTGTGTCCAGTTCTGGGCGCCACATTTCAAGAAAGATGTGGAGAAATTGGAAAGGGTACAGAGAAGAGCGACAAGAATGATTAAAGGTCTAGAGAAGCCTATGAAGCCAGGCTTCATGAACTGGGCTTGTTTAGTTTGGAAAAACGAAGATTAAGGGGGGACATGATAGTGGTTTTCAAATATCTAAAAGGGTGTCACAAGGAGGAAGGAGAAAATTTGTTTCTCTTGGTTTCTGAGGACAGGACAAGGAGTAATGGGCTTAAAGTGCAGCAGGGGAGGTTTAGATTGGACATTAGGAAAAAATTCCTAACTGTCAGGGTGGTCAAATATTGGAATAAATTGCCAAGGGAGGTGGTGGAATCTCCCTCTCTGGAGATATTTAAGAACAGGTTAGATAGACATCTGTCAGGGATGGTGTAGACAGAGCTTGGTCCTGCCTTGAGGGCGGGGGGCTGGACTCGATGACCTCTCGAGGTCCCTTTCAGTCCTATTATTCTATGATTCTATGATCTGAGCTTGCTAGCAGCTCTCGAGGTCCCTTTCAGTCCTATTATTCTATGATCTGAGCTTGCTAGCAGTTTCACCAGTTAAGGAGACCTGTTGCTGAGCTGGAGGCTGCTCATTGGGTTTCCTTAGAGGTTGTGTTCCGCAGTTTGACAGGAGGAGGTGTAAATGTGAGTGTATTTGAGCCCTTCTGAAATCAGTACAGCCAGATTACATTGAGCATATTGTCTTATTTTTCAGTTGAATCCCTGTAATAAAACTTGCTGTCCATCGGTATTACAGGCCTCTAGAAATGTGGGGTGTAATGCACCCACAGCTATCTGATTGGTAAAATGTGTGTCTAACTGGGATGGGTGGGTGGTTTGGCTTATATGTAGTGGTATAGCTTGTTCTCTTCCAAATCCTAGTGCCAGTGAATGGGAGGGGGCAATAGGCCAGAGAAGAAGTGCTGATGAATTACAGAGTAGATTCAGAAAGGCAGCTGGAAACTCATGGCAGCAAGAGCCTTCCATACAAATTGCCACCACGCTTCATAAACTGAGCCTGCTAGTGAAATCCTGACAATTTAAATTAGAGTAGGGGGCAAAAGACAGCATGCGCTGGACAGCCCGGAAAACTTTTGTTCCTGTTACCTGGATCATCTTTGCATCTTTCTATGAAGCCTGCTTAAGTTGATCGGGTTTGTATTTTGTTGCTTGCTTAACTTAAAATAGGCTTTTAACTAAAAGTCCTAATGGGTTTATCAATGTGTGAAATGTTTCTAGGAAGACATAGCATAACACAGGTCTATGGAGTTTTAGTGTAAATTAACAAAGCTACACCTATTTATGCCAGCTGAGGATCTGGCCAGGAGTTTTTTTCCTCTCCCAGCGGGTATTGGGTTTAGGTACAGAATGTTGACAGTTATAAATAATCAGAGCAGATGCAACTTGTTCCTGAATGAAAATCTTTCTGAATTAGGGATGACTGCCTTTAAAATAGAAAATCGCTCACGATCAATTTATTTTGCACCTGTACCTGAAGTCCTTTGGCTTCTAAAATCTCGGAGCAGGGTTAGCCTTTGCCAAAACCGTTCATTTTGGCTTTGCTGAGAACAGTCTGGTGGGTTCAAGAATGCTGCATGGTTTCCCTTGCAACTTTGTTTTTGTGCTTTGCATAATTTTCCTTCCATAGCCATAAATACTCGCGCTCTCGCTCTGTCATTTCATATAAATTTCCCTCCTTTTATAAGGTTTGACCAAAATGGTCTGCCACAGCCGTGTGTGTGTGTGTGTGTGTGTGTGTGTGTGTTTTGCTTATGTCTCTTTTAGTTCTTTCAAGTGTAATCTAGCAGCGCCTGCTTCGACAGCCATCAGATAATTTCTTCCTTTCCTAATGGCTGCCTCACTAATTTATGAAGGAAAGCGCATCCATGTGAAGGCACGAGTCATTCCCCCCCCATACCTCCCCATTTATCCCTCCCATTTCCCCCTTTGCATGATGCTTCCCGCTGTGAACTGAGTTCGCATATCTATAAGGATGTGAGCTGGCACCAGGCCAGAAGAGAGAAGGGGTGACATCTCTCAGGCAAATCAGTGTCAAAGGTTTTGACATGTTCATTCATAGCTTTGTCAAGGCAACCTTTGGGGGTAGGAGGAGAAATGCCTTTTTCTTGCTTAAGTGGTTGCCCTTTATGTTTTAATTTACTGTTATGCTTTTCGGAAACAAACAAAAAACCCCTCAGTTGTCTTTTTATGCTCCATTTCCCTTCCTTCCATTCCCCCCTCCCCTTTCCTTTTTCTACCTCTGCATTCTCTGCGAAGGAATCATCTCTGTGAACGATTTCCTCGCTGCATACAGGCTGATGCCTGCATTCTACATAGACTTGGATCTTGGCCATGCAGAGCTATAAGTCACAACTCTTTGGTCTGAGGAAGTGGGTCTGGCCCACGAAAGCTCATCATCTAATAAACCATCTTGTTAGTCTTTAAAGTGCTACCTTGTCCTGCATTTTGCTTCAGCTACCCCAGACTAACACGGCTACATTTCTATCACAACTCTTTGGTTTGAATCATAACTTTCTGGGACTAGCTCCTTCTTGGGCATGTTGTGACGTAATGGGGGTGCTGTCTGCTCTGTAACCCGGGGTTCCCCTGCGCTGTGATGTGAGATTCCCACTGACTCCCCCACATGTGTATTGGCCCAGACACCTATTCCCAACCTAAGCTGTTAGCAAAGCTCTTCCCAGGGGGAGAGACAAAGGAAGGGAGTCAGAGACAAACACCTAGCTGGGAGGCAAGATCTGGGAGCGAGGCAGTTTCTGGCTGGGAAACATGAAGGGAACAGACTAAGCTGAGGGTTGAGGGGGCGATGGATCCCTTAACCCAAGGGGTCTGAGGCATCTTTGCCCTGACTCCTGTAACCACATCACATCTGTGCTGTGCTGTATCCTGGAGAAGCAATAAACCCCCTCTATTCTCCTGGCTGGTGGAGTCTGTTCTGGCTGCTACGGAGGTGCAGGGTCGGGGGGAACCCCAACGCGCCGTCACACATGTCATGATCTTGATGTTGCTGAGAAGGTCAGTTGCAAGAAATTGTGTTCACCTCAGTTCCTTTCACTGGGTAGGACTGAAACAGCAGGAACGCTGTGGTCGTGTAGATCATATTTTTTTTAGGCCTTTAAATCATTTTTGTTGCTCTTCTCTGGACTTTCTCCATTTTGTCCACATATTTCCTGAAATGTGATGCCCAGAACCAGACAGAGTACTCCAGTTGAGGCCTCATTAGCATGGAGAAGAGCAGAAGAATGACTTCTTGTGTCTTGCTTACAACACACCTGCTAATACAGCCCAGAATGATGTTTGGGTTTTTTACGACAGCATGACACTGTTGACTCATTTATCTCGTGATCCACTATGGTCCCTAGATCCCTTTCTGCAGTACTCCTTTCTAGATAGTAATTTCCCATTTTGTACGTGTGATGCTGCTTGTTCCTCCCTAAGTTGAGTATTTTGCGTTTGTCCTTATTGAATTTAATCCTATTTGCTTCAGACCATGTCTCCAGTTTGTCCAGATCATTTTGAATTTTAACTCTAACCTCCAACGCACTTGCAACCCCTCCCAGCTTGGTACCATCTGCAAACTTAATAAGTGTTCTCTCTATGCCATTATCTAAATCATTGATGAGATGTTGAACAGAACTGGACTCAGAACTGATCCCTGTGGGTTTCCATCTGATGCGCCCTTCCAGCTTGATTGTGAACTACTCCCTGGGAACAGTTTTCCAGCCAGTTATGCACCCATGTAATAGTAGCTCTGTGTCAATTGTATCCAGGTTGGCTTGTCTGCCTGGAAGTAAGCTTTGTGTGTCCCAGTGGAGACTTGGATGTACTCCATGCCTTGTCGAGCTGGGGAATGATATGATGGGTCTGTGAGTTGACCCAGAGTCTTCCACATGGCAGCATGAAGCAAAAGCACTTGGCCAAAAAATTCTGTTTGTTACATTTAAAATGTTGTGATTTTTTTAAAGGGCCCCTTCTATACTTTGACGTAAGCACAAAGTTGGCTACAGTAGAAATAAAAGTGGAGGAGCAATTGCATCGTGTCCCAGAAAATAAGTGTATTTTTGTCCCAAATTTTCACAGAATTTTGACTGAATACTTAACACAGTACTGCTTATACAGCCAAATATTCCTATTGAACCACTGGGAAAACTATTGACTAAAATTGGCCCAAGATATGACCTGTGAATGCTTAAATTTAAACTACCTGTTCTTCAGCATTCATTTTTCCACCCTATTAATTTTGCAGGGTTCATATGTGGAAGAGAACCTTTCCTACTGGAAAGTCAAACACACTCTGCCTATGAGGGCTGAGAATGGTCCACCTCAAGTTCTCTAGTCTTCTGAGGAGTCCACCACTCAAACAAGGATAGACAAGGCCTAATGAAAACAAGCAAAAAGAAATTAGATCCTGTGTGTGTATCTTTCCAAATGTAATTGTGAATTGAGAATATCCATCAAACAGGTGTGTCTACAGTGGGGTCTTGCAGGGGTTGGGTTCTTGACCCGAGGCTATTTAATATTTTATTATTGACTTGGAAGAAAACATAAAATCATCACTGTTAAAGTTTGCAGATGACACAAATATTGGGAGAATGGTAAATAATGAACAGGACAAGCCACTGATGTAGAGCACTGGATGCAAGCAGATAATATGCATTGGAATACAGCTACATGTAAATGCATACATCTAGAAACAAAGAGCATTGGCCATACTTATGGAATCAGAAGATAAAGGTTAGAAGAGATTTCAGGAGGTCCTCTAGTCTAACCCCCTACTTAAAGCAGAACCAACCCCAACTAAATCATCCCAGCCAGGACTTTGTCAAGTCTGGCCTTAAATGGAGGACTCAGTTCTGGGAAGCAGTGATTCCGAAAAAGATCTGGGGGGGGTTGAAGTGAATAATCACTGAACATGAGCTCCCAGCCTGACTCTGGCCAAGAGAGCTGATGCAATTCTGGGATATATAAACAGAGGAATTGAACAGGAGAAGAGAGGTTATTTTACGGCCAAATGAGACTGTTGCTGGAATACTGCATCCAATTCTGCTGTCCACAGTTCAAGGAGGATGTTGATGAATTGGAAAGGGTTCAGAAAAAAGCCATGAGAATGATGGAAGCATTAGACATTTAGAAAACATGCCTTACAGTGAACAACTCAAAGAGAAGGTTAAGGGGTGACTTAATTATAGTCTATAAGTATCTACGTGGGCTTAATTATAGTCTATAAGTATCTACATTTCATTATGGGCTCTTCAATCTAGCCAAAAAAGATGCAACACGATCCAGAGGCTGAAAGTTGAAACTAGTCAATTTCAGACGGGAAATAAAACATACATTTTTAATGGTGAGAGTAATTAACCATTAGAACAATTTACCAAGGGTATTGGTGGATTCTCTATCACTGAACTTTTTTAATCCAGTTTTAAATCAAGATTGGATGTTTTTCCAAATGATACTCCTTCGGAATTATGTTGGGGAAGGTCCGTGGCCTGTATTATACAGGAGGTCAGACTAGATAATCATAACAGTCCCTTCTGACCTTGAATCTATGAATTTCTTTCTCTACTATATATGCACACACAAGTGCACAAACTCACTTTTTCTTCTGCAGGTCACCTTAATGTTTATTAAAGTCCTTTGAGATCGTCTGGGTGCGTTAGAGGTTCATGGTCTTATTAATTATTAGTGTAAAACTGATCATTTCAAATTGCTGAGGGTAGGAACCATATGAAAACTGTATTTGGCACTTTTTCTATAATAAACTAATATTTCCCACTTACCCTGCTTCTTTTCTCTAGACCTAAATTAATTATTTTCAGTTAAACCTTACAATTGGAAGTACTAATTATTGAAGACTTTATGATAGTTGAGAGCCAGTAATCTTCCAGGGGTGTGTCTAGACTACATGCCTCCTTCGACGGAGGCATGTAGATTAGCCAGATCGGAAAAGGGAAATGAAGCCGCGATTAAAATAATCGCGGCTTCATTTAAATTTAAATGGCTGGGGCCCGCCCC